TTCTGCGACAATTAATTATTTAATCTATCCATTTATTGTCCTGATTTTATGTTCTCGGTTGTTCTTCCTATGAAGATTTTTCCATCATTGCTCCTTTCAACCATTTTTTCTGTTCCCCGTTTACTTGAGCAGTTTAATTCCAGTTCCGAACGAGGATCCAAATTAATTTCCGTCAACCATCAAATTCCCTCCCTGCAATCTTGTTGCTCGTGCATGTGAAGGATGAACCCTAATTTTTATTATGTCTCCACTGACAATTGTGGGTTAGTGGCTTTGTAAATACTAACTATTTATGTTTTTCTTTCAGGGTAATATGAAATAAGTTTTGCGTATTGATTTTGAAGTTTATTCAGGTAACTAAGTCTTTGAGTTAGTGTCAACGCACCACGATCTTAATAGCGAGAAAATAGTAGAAATTGTAGTGGATGCTAAATGTTTGAATTTAACTCCGCATGTAGCACTTCTAGAGTTACCGCCGGTCTCAAGTCCGGATAAAGGAGGAGGGTTGGGCATGGGGATAGCGTCCCCATCCCATAGAAAACTAACTCGCCAAAAAACACTAACAAGAAAAATATTCTAACCATTTAAACTCTGCCCTGGGAGTTAGAAGGTTTTCATTTAGAAGAACTATGACGCCTCATGGTGAAAGCCGAGTTCCTTCAAAAGCCACGAGGCCGATGACTCTTGTAACAACCACAGCAACGATTTTTATAGGTACATGGAACGTCCGGACAATGTGAGAGACCGGGAAGACCAGTCAAATAGCAAGGGAAATGAGGAGATACAACTTGGTAGTACTGGGAATCAGCAAAACCCATTGAACCCAAGCTGGACAACAAAGGGTAAATACGGGAGAGATGGTACTATACTCCGATCACGAAAAGGAAAATGCTCCACACACCCAGGGAGTTGCTCTAGTGCTGTTCAAAGTAACACGGAATGCACTTGTAGGATGAGAATCTCACGGATCCAGAATCATCAAAGCATCATTGAAAACAAAGAAGGAGGGGATCACAATGAATATTATCCAATGTTATGCATCCACCAATGATAGCAACGACGACATTAAAGATCAATTCTACGAGCGGCTGTAATGAATCATAGAGAAGTGCCCAAGAAAGGACCTCACCATTCTGATGGGAGATCTAAACGCCAAAGTCGGGATAGACAACACCGGATATGAAGATATCATGGGACGACATGGATTGACTGGGAGAGAGAAACGGGAGGGGAAAGATTTGCAAATCAATGTGCATTCAACAAATTGGTCATAGGGGGCACAATATTTCAACACAAGCGTATAAACAAAGCTACATGGATCTCACCGGACCACATTACAGAGAACCAGATAGATCATATTTGCATCAACAAAAAATTCCGAAGGACAATGGAAGATGTGAGAACCAGGAGAGGAGCTGATATAGCTTCAGATCACCACCTAAACCTGAAGCTAAAAAAGAACTGGACAACTGGACAAACAGCAATACCAAGATTCAATGCAACCTTCCTTCGAGATACTGACAGACTCAATGAATTCAAGATAGCTCTCAACAACAGGTTCCAAGCCTTACAAGATCTACTGAAGGAAGTAGAAACTACTATGGAAGACAAACGGAAAGGCATCAAAGAAGCATTAACTTTAACGTGTCAAGAGGTTCTGGGCCTCATGAAGCATCATCATAAGGAATAGATCTCTATAGAAACACTGGACAGGATCAAAGAAAGGAAGAACAAGAAGAAAGCAATTAACAACAGCCGAACACGAGCAGAGAAAGTCCAAGCACAAGCTGAGTACATAGAAGCAAACAAGCAGAAATACGTGGAAGAACTAACAAGGACAGCGGAAAAAGCTGCAAGAGAATGAAATATGAAACAGCTTTACGATACAACGAATAAACTATCAGGGAAATTTAGTAAACCAAAGAGACCGGTCAAAGACAAAGAAGACAGGTCAATCACTGAAATTCAACAACAGCGAAACAGATGGGTAGAGTACTTCGAGGAAATCCTGAATAGGCTGGTTTCATTGAATCTACCGGACATCGAGGCAGCACACACAGATCTTCCCATAGATGTCAATCCACCAACGACGGAAGAAATAGGAATGGCCATCAGACAAATCAAGAATGGGAAAGCAGCAGAACCTGACAACATACCAGCTGAAGCACTGAAATCAGATATCGAAGTAACTACAAACATGCTTCACCTTCTATTCAAAAAGATTTGGGAGGAGGAACAAGTGCCGATGGACTGGAAAGAAGGACATCTCATCAAGATTCCAAAGAAAGGAGATCTGAGCACAGGTGAAAACTACAGTGGCATTACGCTACTGTCAATACCAGGGAAGGTCTTTAACAGTGTGTTGCTGAACCGGATGAAAGCTGCAGTAGACGCCCAACTTCGAGATCAACAAGCTGGATTCCGTAAGGATCGGTCGTGCACAGACTGAATTGCGATACTACGGATCATCTTCGGACAATCAGTTGAGTGGAACTCGTCAGTATACATCAACTTCATTGAGTATGAAAAGGCATTTGACAGTGTAGATAGGAGAAAATTGTGGAAACTTCTTTGACACTACAGAGTTCCTGAGAAGATTGTCAACATTATCCGGAACTCATACGACGGACTACAGTACAAAGTCGTGCATGGAGGACAGCTGACAGATGCATTCCAAGTAAGGACCGGAGTTAGACAAGGCTGTTTAGTCTCTCCCTTCATCTCTCTTCTGGTGGTCGACTGGATTCTGAAGACTTCGACATCTGAGGGAAAACATGGCATACAATGGACAGCTCAGGACTTCACAGATGACCTAGCCCTCCTATCGCATACACATGAATAAATGCAGATAAAGACAGCCAGTGTAATAGCAGTCTCTGTATCAGTAGGCCTCAACATACACAAGGGGAAAACCATGGTCCTCAGATACAACACGGAGAACAGCAATCCAATCACACTTGATGGCGAAACTCCCGAAGATGTAGGATCCTTCACGTACTTGGGAAGCATCATCAATGAACAAGAAGGATCGGGTGCAGAAGTAAAGACAAGCATTGACAAAGCAAGGGCCTCATTCCTACAATTGAAGAACATATGGAACTCAAAACAACTTTCAACCAATATCAAAGTGAGAATCTTCAATACCAACGTCAAGGCAGTTCTATTGTATGGAGCTGAAACTTGGAGAACTACAACATCCACCATCAAGAAGGTAAAATTATTTATAAATAGCTGTCTACGCAAGATATTCAACATCCATTGGCCGGATACCATTAGCAACAGTGTTCTGTGGGAGAGAACAAACCAGCTTCTAGTTGAAGAGGAAATTAGGAAAAGACGATGGAGTTGGTGGATAGGACATTACGCAAATCATCAAACTGCATCATGAGGCAAGGCGTAACTTGGAATCCTGAAGTTAGGCTGAAAAGAGGAAGATCAAAGAACACATTTGTGGTGTCTGAATGAACTGATGATTTCTTTTTACTTTTTGAATGATTGATTTCTAATTCTTAATACAATACATTCGTTCGTGTTTGTCTAGTACTTCTTGATTCAATTGCGTTATTTCTGGGACTCTTAGTTCAAATGCTTCGAAACATTATACGCATTACATCGGGAAATCGAAGCAGATATGAATGGTATGAATAATGACTGAAAGAGTCTGGAAAGGATTGCCCAAGACAGGTTTGGATGGAGAATGCTGGTGGGCGGCCTATGCTCATTCACGAGGAGTAACAGGCGTAAGGAAGTAAATGTTTGAATTTGAAACATTGAGAAATTCATTCCTCCTGAACACAGGTGAGCTATATACATTCTTTCTTAAATTGTATTTTGAAGGATCCCGGTAAATTTAAAGACATCACTATAAGTCTATATCCAATAACCCATTGCTGCCAGTATTAAGAACTAATGATTCATATACTGCTATTCTATAAAAGGTTTTTCGTTAAACTTTCCAGATATAATATAGGGAACTTAGCGAAAGGAAGATAGCTGGTTCTTAAAAAGTTGAGGCCATGTAATCACTATGGATTTATTGAGTAAACTAATTACCGGTAAAGCCTCATAGAGTGTATATTTGTTATCTTTCGAATTCCATGACTGTAGTAAAAACTTTTTTTCTTAAAGTGATCTAAATAGAATAAACTATCAGAATACTCTAGAATCTAGCAACATCTCCCAAAAATCACTTATTAAATCCATTACATTGCTTGGACCTTAAAAAAAGCTTTTTTTGGAGATTGAGAGAAATGACCTAAGCATTCCAACAGTTATTCAATCAAATAATAATAAGATATATTGTTCACATTTTGTTGATCAATATATTTAAGTCACTTGTTTGTAGCCATTACTCAAACTTATTTCCATGACAATAATAATGAATATTAGATTAGACTAAATTTCCTTGAAACATTCATATATTATTTAGCAAAACGATAAAATTTCATTAATTAGTCCTACATATTATCAAATATTCTTCTTATTTCTTTCTTTAGACAGTACAATATTGAAAAAAAATAATCAAATAAACAGAATAAGTAACAACAAATAAGTCAATAATAATAATAATAATAATAATAATAATAATAATAATAATAATAATAATAATAATAGTAGTGATAGTAGTAGTAGTAGTAGTAGTAGTAGTAGTAGTGATAGTAGTAGTGATAGTAGTGATAGTAGTAGTAGTAGTGATAGTAGTGATAGTAGTGATAGTAGTGATAGTAGTGATAGTAGTGATAGTAATAGTAGTAGTAGTAGTGATAGTAGTAGTAGTAGTGATAGTAATAGTAGTAATAGTAGTAGTAGTAGTAGTGATAGTGATAGTAGTAGTAGTAGTAGTAGTGATAGTAGTAGTAGTAGTGATAGTAGTAGTAGTAGTGATAGTAATAGTAGTAATAGTAGTAGTAGTAGTAGTAGTGATAGTAGTAGTAGTAGTAGTAGTAGTAGTAATAGTAGTAGTAGTAGTAGTAGTAATAGTAGTAGTAGTAGTAGTAGTAGTAATAGTAGTAGTAGTAGTAGTAATTACTAAGAATTATGTTGCATGTTATTCAATCCTACTTCTAGTAACTAATTTGTTAACGAAATAGAAGATGAAAACATTAATTTACTTTGAAAAAACAAATCAAATTGTGAAAAGTATTACAAATTGAAAATCTTCATGGAAATTGTATTATTTAATAAGAAGAAAGAGAATAATATGAAGTGAATATTTTGAATTGTGAATTAGATCTGAAATCTGAAAATTATAAACAATGTTTGTATAATTATTCACTATAATTTTGTAACTTACAAAGATATTTGATTAAGATGATTTTAACATTTATTTTTTAATAGTTAATATTCAATGTACATCATTATGTTGTAAAATGTTAGTAAGTTTCTAATTCATTTAATTCTGAAATAGTTGCTTCTGATAATGAATAAGATGAAAGAGCTTCTGACATATCATGCATTTCTTGTTCAACACCATATAATTCTCTTAGATGTACACCTTTAATTGGTCTCTCGGTACGTGCTGTAAATGTTTCATCTTTAGGTTGATTGGAATATGATTGACGACTTTTAAAACTTTCACCACTTAATTTATTAGTATCATATGCTTTTCTAGTTGTTTGAAGTAAATAAAAACGTGCAGCTGCTTCAGCAGCTTCTCGTTTTTCTGATTCATTACCTGAATGATTTACTGATGCAACAGCTTCTAATTTTTTACGAATAGACGGTGGCATTAAAAGACTTCGTAAACCTCTCAATCTATTTTCATCACCAATTTCTGTTGCTGACTTTGGTGGTGTTTCATCAATTTCTTCATCACCCTGAGTTTTGCTTTCTTTTCTTGACAATTTATCTTGGTTTAATTCTTGTTTACGTTTAACTTCATGATCCATCATTTTTTGTATCTGTTGCCGGTGGATATTCATAACGGAAAATTCTATAAAAGATAAAGAGGACAAGAAAGACTTAGTTTAAGTTTAGCAATATTTTTATTGGCAGTATCTATGTATGATGTAATTAGGTGGAAAGTGATTTTGTGTTCAATATTCGTTTAGTTTATTTATGTCTTGTTAAAGATTTCTGACTGTCACTGAATACACTATGGTTTTATTTGATAACATTAATAAAGAACAAAAGAGGACCGTTAACCTTTAGTAGTAAGATTAATGCAGCAAAATGATGATACTATTGGCCCATTATTTTGATACCAGTTAGACCAGACGATAATGTTGTCGACGGGTTCACCACTTTAGTGGCCCGAAATATGACTCCAGTAATATCGTATGATTGATTGTTATGCATGTCGCCAATCCCCATATATAATCATCTACTTAAATTGCGTTAGTATTTAACTCTATTAAATAAGTCAAATACGAGAACGAAGATTAAATACATATATTCTGTACACTCATTGCTCTGGGAAGACAACCAGAGGAACGAAACGAAGGAAGCGAAGAGAAATGACACTCAGTGGAGAAGGCATGTGAGCAAACTCGATTTAAGCGAGCGTGGATAGATATTTATACAAAAAAAGTTATGTGGTGAATAGGATATGAAGTACACACGTACGCTCATATAAAAACAGTCAAGGTTGTTCGGTGAATAATTGATAAGGTTAAAATGTGATTTAAGAAGAATGAATGAACTGGTCTGTCCAAAAGCTAGAAAAAGCTATGTGGGCTTAACATAGCAACCAACACTACAATAATATATGTGCGTTATCGCTAATTTCTTGTTAGTTTTTTATTAGTTGCCACCATACCACCAGAAGAAACTATACAAATTATATGCCAACACGTTGACTTAATTTTTTTTACAAAGGATGAATTCAAACAGCAATCACTTATGTGTACCAAATATATTTCATTTCACTTCAGTTATGTCTTATATTGTTGAATGAAATGGCTATAAGTGTATCAATCCTCGCAGATACCTTCATAGAAATACTAGAGCAGGCAGTGATGAAGATGGTAATCAACGATACAGTGTACATCATATACGTTGATGATGCATTTATTATTCGTAACAGTTATCAACATTTTGCAAATTTACTGAAACTCCTCTATATCTTCAATTTACTATGGAACCTGAACATGGCTACATTTTTCGTTTTCTAGACCTCGATGTAAGGACAATACAAATGAGAGATTAGAAATATATGTTTATCGAAAGGATACATGAAGTGAATTGTAGTTAAATTTCAATAGCTTCTGATCATAAAGCTGAAAAATAACTTTGATCAGAACACTTCAACAGTGTACAGAGATTATGTTCAAGATATAAAATTGAGAACATTATTCACATAATAACCATTACATTCGGAAATCAATAACTGTGAGAAGACTAGAACAAAACGAATGGAGTATTCTAAGGTTGAGAAAAAGCCAGTTATACTAAGAGTTAAATTCAGAGATGATGAAATAGACTGGAAGATTTATTTTAAATTGAATACCATGCTGAATAGGACATATTAAGCAGCCAAGTCAATTTCTCTGTACCACAAAGTTGCTCATTGGGATAGTCAAACAACTTCGAGCCTTGTATCACCTCCGATTAAGTCTACCAGTTTACGTGTTTGCATCCCTGAGCACATTTCCCAGAAACAGACCAAAATTACAATGTGCCTTTTGGATCTTAATTGCCTTTACCGAGAACATGATTTTGATGTCTTAGTCTTTCAAGATACTCAATAAACAAAGGACGTCAAACTTACTAAGCACTACTGATGTAGTTGTGATAAAAAGATTTATACCAAATTAATCCATCCAAAATGATGTAGCTATCAATCATTCTTTATCTTGAAGACATCAATTTCCAGTTCCTGTTAATTTCAGATTTCTTGCATCTTACCTGAGCTTTACTCAAATAGTCAGTTTATTTTTTCTTAAGTATTACATAAACAATGACATTAATCTATTTCTAAATTTTATTTTCCATGTTACTCTCAGCTTTCTCTGCTAAAATATTTGTACATTCAACTTATAAATCGACAGCCATCGAAACGAATCTTTAATTCCTGCACAATTAGCGTCTTTTATTTACTTACATCTACGTATTAGATCCTATTTTGGTCAAGACTTTTCTCACTTATAATGTGCATATCGTGTTGTTATTTAAATAATCAATGTCAATGTTTCTATATTGTAACCAACCGAAAGAAATCCTTCCAATAAATTTCACGATCGGTTTTACTTTATTCAGGTATCGAATCATTCGTAGAATATTAAGACGTTCGTATTGCTATTTACTGGAACAGCATGACTCACATTGAACACATTATATGGATCTTCTACACAAGAAAAGAAGTCAATATGTAGTGCAAAATTCATCATATGATAATGCGTATTTACTAGTGTAAACTTCTCTATCAACGAATGTAGTTATTTATCCATCGAATATAAGATTCTAGGTATTATTGATCAGGAAGTATTATTTTTTTTGTAAGACAATAAAATCAATGAAAACATTATATTACAGGTTCCACTTGTTAATAACTACTGTATTCACTCTACTATGTGTAGTTTTAAAGATAGTTCATATTTATTTGTACTGAAGTCCAGTGTTTACATTTTTATACCCATATATGTAATTTTAACAGTTTACAATAGGTTATTGAAATGTAAATAGAATAAAGAGACGGCGAGACTCTAATTTATGGACGAGCCAATCAGAGACGTTTTAGAGATTTCAAGGTTACGGCACTAACTTCAGTGCTTAATGCTAACGTACGATCGGTTCTCAGGGAATTTTGTACAAAACGTGATAATTGAGTGGCTATAACAAATAAAACGACGAGAATATGATTTGTGGACGAATCAATCAGGTATAAGAAAATAAATCTCGGATTTTAACGCGAAAGTCTTTCATGTACTTGGCTAAATAAATTTATGGCATTATAGCTGATGTCAGTTCGTGATGAAAACCCAAATATAATTCCTAAGGCAAATTACGACAATTATTGCGAAATGGATAATAAAAGCACCAGTAACATTGGCTGCCGCCTGGTACTACAATATATACGGATGACTGGAGATCGTACAGACTCCTACATAGGCTTGGTTATGTGCATTGTGTCGTTATCCACAAGTAGCATTTTGTTCACTCAACAAGCGGAGTGCACACAAACAATATTGAACCTATGAGGTCGAGGCTGAAAGAGTTTTTGAGACTTTATCATGGCTCCAGTGGCCGACTATTCTGTAGCCGTATGGATGATTTCCTCTACTGTATGCATTACGATTTTAGAACCTCTGAACCTCTTTCTCACCGTGACAAGTTTTTGAACCACGTGTACGAAGTGTATCCATTTTATTTCCTTGGTTTTGTATAACACATTTTTACTCTATACTGACTGTTTACTGATTGGCTAATATTTCTCAAGGTCACTGAAGATTCGTTCAAAGGTCGTTCATAAATTAGGATCTCGCCAAAGAGACTTGTCCAAGTTATTTTGAATTCTAAGTACATTTTTACTACATGAGTATCGGTTCTCTCATTACTAATTCAAGTTATTCGTTATGATCTAGATCACATTTTATTGAATGAAAAACATTAAACAGATCATAACACAAACGATTTATAGAAAATTTACTTACCATTTTGTATGCAAACAAAATAAACGTATTTAGAATTAAAACAATCAGATTTACTGGTAATAAGATGGAATCATTGACTACATACTAAATAATCTGTTACATAATATCTTTTAGATATACATTATGTTCCTGTTACATCCCGACGAAAATTATGGATGGTAACTTTTGAGAACTATTTATGGACCAATACGATACATATATTTTTACTGTATTGTTGTTAAGTAGCTAAACTATTCATATTCATGTTCCTCTTATTATAAGCTTTATTCTAACCCACTGACTATTATTATACGATTTACCGTTCTGGAGTCCTGCCCAGTCTATCAATTACAGTCTCCCAGATTCACAGCCACTTCTGGCTAGATTGTGTACAAATGTTATTTTCCATTTTATAGTTTGATGTGGTGTGTTTGGTTTGTATATAAACCCAGTATGTTTGAATTATATGATTCATATCGCAGAGGCTGATATTGTTGTTCTAGACTTAACAGGCAAGGCTAGGCTGGAAGAAGGACCGATAAAGACTCTAGATTGCTTGTACGGGTTTTATGCGTCATTAGTCCGGTCAATAAATCAATGTTCTCTAGATGGTGATATCATTACACTATACATTAATAGGGCACAAGGTCACAAGTTATAATAGTTCCTTTGTATACTCACTCAATAGATAAGTCCTAATGAAACAACCTATTTAACAATGTATTGGTTAATTTCTTTTTCTTCTTATTAAATCCTATAGAATTAATTTATGAGTTAACTGTATTTTCATCTTATATCCATTACTGTAAAATCAAATGAAAATTATAAATCATTTCATACCTCCAGATTTTAATTCTTCTTCTTTCTGTTTCTGTAACTTGAATAAGTACCGACGCATAACATCAGCACGTATAGTATCAGTATGAAGCTGAAATATAATTCCATGAAAACATTATGATATGAAATAAAGTAACGGTATAAAATTAAAGTTGTACATTGATTAAGAAAATAGAAAAAAAAACCTTCCTTTTTTTTGAAAATCGATTATTATTCAAAACATTTAGACTTATGAATGAATCATAAAAATAATACGTTGGTGATGGAGTTTTGTTCTCTGAGCTGGATGGTTTGGTTGTGGAGTTTTCAGTGTTCTTCTGAACAACATCAACAGTACAAAATTCAGATAGAAGTCTGAAGTTCGCGCTAATGACATCTTTTAGAAGAACGATGAAAGCCCCGCGACCAAACCGCTTTTCGTCCTCTCAATTTCGTAGACAACAGTAATATCATGAAAAGGCAGTGAGTAAGACTTCTCTGACAGTGGTTGTATGCAAATGTCCATGTGAGAGTATTTCGAGAGGGAGAGCTAACTCTCCCTACTCTTGGCCGTACCAGGGAATTTCGGGGCTCAGTGAGAAACTTTCTATCTAAACTTTATATGTGTTGTGGGGGGGGGAACTGATGTTTTCAAATGGATTTCTACCCAGACTACATGGTGTTACTGATGTAAACGTTACCAGTAAGCTATTTTTATCAACGATCATCTTCATATATCATTCAAATGAATAAGCTGTATGTAAAATTAAGCGATTTTCTTGATTAAAAACTCAACTGAAGTGCAAATTCCCTACTTGACAGAAAATATAAGTTTTTCTAATGTTAAGTAATTAGATATTAAGTCATTTAACATAGCATGCGCTGAACTTTAAGACATCCAAACGTTTTGTTACTGAGTAATTCATTTTAATTTATTATTATACTTTTATTGTTATTTAACGTAAAAAGGAATACAAATCTCTTGATATAGAGATAGTGCTGATGGAGTTTTGTTCTCTGAGCTGGATTCTTTGGTCGTGGAGCTTTCACTGTTCTTCTGAACAACATCATCAGTACAAACTTCAGATAGAAGTCTGAAGTTCGCGCTAATGATATCGTTTAGAAGAACGATGAAAGCTTCACGACCAAACCATACATCACAGAGAACAAAACTCCATCAAACTCATCCACCTCAGCGACAAATCTTCTCCACCATCTCATAGAGATAATGTGTTTTGATTTAATCTTCATAGTTTAAAAAAGAAACTAACCACATTGATATTATCTCGTAAAAGCTAAAATTGACAATCTTATCAGTAGAGTTTATCACAGTCAATATTTATGAAATATTAAAGTTTCTGTACATTGACTGTTTCAACTGTTTATCTCTTTCGAATTTGAAAGTAGATGGACAGTAAAAACTAGTATAGTAATAATTCTGTTAGGTTCTTCACATCATTTGAACAACAACACTATTTGGCCGGATTTGTTTCTAACGATGTAGTATAGAGAGATCTAGTGTAGCATAGTCCATCATGGTGGATGAAGCACACAAATATGACAAAAGTTAGGATTTGAAAATCAAACTTTAATATACAGTACTTATCAAGTACACGAGAAATAAATCCTCAGGACTGATATATGCAAAACACTCAGTATACGTGACAACTTCTGAAAATAAGCTCACCCCACTGTTTCGAACTGGGTTATAATTATCACTTTAAATTAGCACACTTTCTTATTATCACTATCGCGAATTCTTAAACTAATATCATTTTATGTAAGAATATTTACGTCCAGTTTTGAAATGGGTAAATATAACTAAATAACTCATTGATTCAAAGAAAACTCAACTCAGTAGGTAGTTTTATGATAACTAATACCAATACTGAAAGTTATTAGTAGACTTTTTTCTAAAATCACATATTTAAGCTAGAAAATCCATTGCATTTCAACATAACACATTCTCCCGGAATGTTCAACCGTAAAGACTTAAATATTTCACAAGTTGAAATCATGAGTCAGTTCAAGCTAGACCACCATTTAAACCTGGAAGGACTGGACGGCCGTTTCGTCCTGGTATGGGACTCCTCAGCAGTGCGCATCCACGATCCCGCACCACACGGGGCTCAAACCCAGGACCTACCGGCGCAACTTCGTGGATTGGTTGAAGTTAGACATTAACACCGTTGGATGCCGGCCAGCACAGTGGTCTAGTGGCTAAGTGCTCGCGCGCGAAGCCAGTAGGTCCTGGGTTTGAGCTCCTCGTGGTGCGGGATCGTGGATACGCACTGCTGAGGAGTCCCATACCAGGACGAAACGGCTGTCCAGTGCTTCCAGGTTTTCAATGGTGGTCTAACTTCAACTGACTCATGATTTCAACTTGTGAAATTTCTTAAGCTCTCCACAAAACCCATTCTGACTTAAATATTTATTTAAACCACATCTATAGGATGAATTTTGGAGATTAACTCTGTATTCTACAATTTAGTTTAGTACACCACTGATGATAGAAACTGGAATTTTGAAATGGATGTAATTCTCTAGTTTTTATTTGTGTCCTAATAATGATTGGATTTGAAAATAATTTACATCAAGAATGAGACATAGATTGGAAAGATATTGAAAACCAAAGAACTTTACAGAGAAACTGTTGTGACTTTAAACTTGGGTCGATTTTTACCCTGTGCTAACTGTTGTGTCCTTGGCTGAAAAACTAGAGAGCAGCGTATTTATCGACCGATTCAATGACACGTAAACACGTACGAACGTAATGGGTGACCTAGAGTTCCAATTGGTTCCGCTTCCCTGTCTAGACCAGCCAGTTGAGTCCAGAACACAAACCTCAGCCTCTGAGTTATGAATCATTATACTTCAAACATACTTTGTTTATACACCAATCAAGCATACCACGTCGTACCATAAAAATAGAAAACAACATTTTGTACAATATTCAACAAGTGAACAGATATCAACCAATATGAAATGTCCATTTAAAGTCCAAGGACACCATTGGACTTAACATGATAATTATTGGTCTATTCCTCCGCATCCACAACAGAAACTTCGTCCAATCTTTAAATCAGAATGTTTTCCGTAAATAATTTAACTAAATTATTGATCGATTAGTTAATTTTCCATATAAATTAGCACCATTTCAATTAACTTGATTCTGTAGCTAGTGTAAAGTATAACAAAGGATTTTGATTTTTCCTGTTTATTGAACAATGAGTTGTAGTCTTAATGTCTAAAATAAATCTGAAATGTGCATATTTTTAGTATATGAGATTTATGGAGATTTTAGAGTTTTCAGGAAGTACTGAACGGATGACTCATTCTAGCATGGGACTCCTCAGAAGTGTGTATCTACGATCTTGAGACAATTATCTACTGTAAGCAATATATGAAGGTTGTACAACACCATGAATTGATTAAAGGTAAACATCAACACTATTAGATGTCACCTCTGGGGTTTAGATATTAAATGTTCGTGCATAAGGTCAAAATTCTTTGGTTCGATCCTCAGAAGCGGGATCGTTAATACACGCAGTTAGGCAGTCCAATACTAAAACAAACCAGTCGTTTAGAGCTTCCAAGTTTGTAATGTTCGTTTGACTAAGATCAGTTTATGATTTAAACTGTAAAAATATTCATATTTGTCAGTTTTTAAAGCTCAATGGATAAAATTTATCTTAATTTCAGAGTCATTGATATGAAACTATTTCAATTTGATCAAGTATAAAACAAAATGGTTTTCTAACCACCATAATTTGAATTCTTTTTTAAAGAAAACGATTCATTAAGAAACATTTATAATCTGAGATTGTGAAAACTGAATCCCTAAATGTAAGGAATCATATATCTACACAAATACAATTTGTTTTTATGACATCAGATTATTATTCAATGAAAACCTGTTTTAACTTATGTGCTTCCCAGTGTTTTTCTTATTAACGTTTCAGGTACAATAGAATTCAAATGATAATGATTTGTTATTCCGATTGTAATGAACAAGAACACGAGTGGGGACAACCGAATGTATTTAGAACACAAATTACAGACTATCTCAATAAAATCTGAATACCATATAGTAAATCGTCAATTTACAAATATTCATGCATCTAATCAAACTGGACTGTTTCTGTTGCAAACACCAATCCATTGTCTCCCATTCCATTGTTCATGCGTTTTCTTACAAATTCCATTGTGTTCTTGCTGTTCCTTTCTTGATCTTCACCATCTTCTGCTGCCAAACGTTACGTTCTTTTAACTCACGTCATATACTACTCATATCGATATAAGTAGCTCACACCACACAATTACTTTCATGTCTTGTAATAAAAAATTCATTACAACTTGTTAAAAATTTAACTCCATTTGGAGTCCTCCTCATGGGGCTACTACCGGTTCTAACCCCGGATAAAGGAGGAGGGTTGAGCATGGGGTTAGCGACCCAATCTCGTAGAAAACTAACTCGCTAAAAAATGCTAATCAGAAAACATAATTCAAATCATTTAAACTTTGCCCTGTGAGTTAGAAGGTGTTCATTTAGAAAAGTTATGATGTCTCATGATAAAAACCAAGTTCTTTCGGAAGTCACGAGGTTGATGTCCTTTCTGACAACCAGAGCAACCATTTATTTAAGTACATGGAATGTTCGTACAATATTAAAACTTTAAACAAAGCAAATTATCTTATTAATTATTATACTGTATATATTCTACAAGTATATGATTATTTTTCAATTATTAATTGTAAACTTACCTTATAATCGTTAAGAATTTTTTCAGTTTCATTTTCACTTTCTGATCCATCAGATGTCCATTCATTTGAATGTATAGAATTTGTATCTAATAAAGTGCTTACAGTAGTAGTTGTATGAGTTTTACGAATATTTTGATTAAATTGTGTATTCACTGAATGATGTTTAGTTGGTATAGTTTGATTGAATATAATAGCATTTTCATTTTTTTGTAAATCACAATGATGTTTTGTATAAATTTGTGGTTTTTTCCATTGTATTATACTACAAAATCGTGATAATAATGATGTTATTGCTTCTCGTGATGGTAATAAATTTAATGGAACCGGAAGTACACCTTCTTGATCAATATATACTAACCATAAACTTGCTCGTGCAAATTTCCATTCTTCTAAACGGTCACCCTATTTAAATCAATATGAAAAAAGAAGATAAAAATTAAAATAAATTACCAATGTGATTTTACGTTTTTTTTGTAGGTATAAAAGTTACTTTATTCTAAACTATTTACTCAGTACATGTTACTAATCAGATAAGGGTTTTGTAGACATTATAGCAAGTTGATAGTTGAACTCATGAATCAAATGAAGCTAGACCACCATGAGAAACCTGGAAGCACTGGACGGCCATTTGGTCCTAGTGTGTGACTCCTCAGCAGTGCGCATTCATTATCCCTCCTCGTCGAGATCGAAACCAGGACCTATCTGTTCAGCGCGCGAGCGCTTAGCCTCTAGACCACTGAAATGGCATCTGACTACATTTATCATATGCTCACTAGTGACAATCTGTAGTTGGTATTTCCTGGTTTTCTAGTGAGAAGCCATGAACAATGGAGTTCATCTGGGTCTGTTGTGAGATAGTAACACATTGATGATAATGGTGGACGGTGGTGCGATTTCGTAGATTGGTTGGAGTTCGACATTATACCGTCGGATACCGGCTCAGTTGTATAGAGGTGAAGCGCTTGCGCGAGACTGATAGGTTCGAATCTCACGAGGCGGGGTCGCTAATGTGCACTGCTGAGGAATTTCATACTAGGTCGAAGCGGTCATCCAGTGCTTTCAGGTTTTCCATGGTGGTATAGCTTCATTTGACTCATGAACGCAACTATTAAATTACATGTTATTGATTTGTTAAAATATTATATTATTTAACAGTTTCTTAATTTAAGAGTCAACTGCTCAATACATAATCCCAAATGATATGCCAAAAAAGTCTGTTGATTAATTCCAGTATTAGAAAATAAAGTTAACCAAGGTTTCCTTTTACTATTCCATACACTTTAACCATTGTATATTTTGGATGTTTATTGAAATTGTATGAGACTATTTGAAGTGTAATACACTTTTAGTGATACATTAGATATTGTAAAAATTCGGAAAGTTTATTCACTTATTACAATCCCTGATGGTAATTGTCATTCTTGTCCTAAAGTTAAGCTGTAATCAAATAATTCTATTACATTTAATAATGTTATTGATATTAAGTAGTCGTAGACGGTCAGTAGAAAGTCATGGATTTAAGTTGCATGCTAATCAACACTAATTAGCAAGGTGTATCTAGTATTCTAAGGGAATTCATGTTTCGTATAGTCTTCCAACATACCTTACTCAATGTTACAAAGATGTTACCACTGTTGTGTTTACGTTTCAGATCTAATATTAACAGCTTCATGTATTGTATGCAAATTCGAAACAATATTTCTTATAATTCCAAGCTATTAGTGATAAACATCTGAAAGAAAACTAAATTTCGACTAGATGTCTGCTGAGAAGCTCAAATTCACATGACATGTAAACTACACACAGATAAACATGGGACAAATAAACTTTTGACTAACAGATTCACCCAAAGAGTTGAACAAAGCTACAAATACTGCGAAAGATTTGTAGCTCAGATAAATGATGTGAGTAGGGTCGCATTTTCTGAAATGGATTCAGTTTATCAACTTTTTCTGTCAAGAATAATCAAATAGCAATAAATCAACTTAACAGGATGTTCAGTTGGAATAGGATGCAATCCAAAGAAACCTAAAAATAGTTTTTACACAAAGCTAACGAAGTCTGAGATGACAGCTGATCACAAACAAGATCATCAGGATTGTCTGCTTTAGCACGAATGTCATGATTCTAAAGAAGCCCACTTTCATTTCCAGAACCAGTCGACGGTTTTCTTTAGAAAAGAGACAAAAAATTTCATAATTATCCAGCTCAGAGAACATTACACCACCATAAGCTAAGATGATTTAAATATACGAGAATGATGCAGTACAGTATTTGCAAAATGTAGCTTTGACTGTATCGCAATCCATAGTAATGTGCATAATATTACCAATATATAAATAAATAGACTAAACACTTATTAATGAGAGTTAATTAATAAAATTTTAATTACCTGTATCTCATCAAATGATTTACTCATCATAGCGATCAACATATTCAACAAAATGATAATCATGCAAGCATTATATATTGCATATAAAATACTACCAAGACTGTTTACGATATATGGACTACTGTCTACTGCCAAATATTCATGGCCAGGGTACATACTGGCTAGATTTTCATCAATGGTTGTTACATTAGTTGATGATTGTCCAAATAAAGCCCAGTATAATGTATGAAAAGTAGCACCCGTACTAAATTTTTATAAATAACAAAATAAACAACACTTCTAATTAACCTCTGACAAATTAGTTTGTAGACATGTTCTAAGTTTAAGAAATTTTAAATCGACTAAGTAAAAGACTAGACAACCAATCTAGATAAATGTACATAAAAACAATCAACGTAGCAATATTCAACTTAGAGCAATACTAAATTAAGAATAATTTGTTAGCAGACAAAGTGTAATCAAGGAGAATACAGATGAGAACAACCAACATATTTAACACAAAATTACAGTTACTTGGTAAAATAGAAAAACCATACTCAAATACCTCATTTGCAAAATGTAAATTAATTGTCTCAAACTTCATTGTTCCTGTATTTCCATGCCAATTGCTTTCTGTTCCCGTTCTTCCATTCTCGATCTTCTAAACCTTCTGCTGCTAGACATTCTATTTTTGAATAGCGTTATTTACTAATTTTGTCGACATATGTAGCACACATCACACTCGTCCCTCATTTTTATAACCTGTTATCTCAGTCTTTCCGATCTCCGTACCACTGTCTTCTTTGATGCTGTTCGTGACTCTCACTCATGATGCTCTTGAAACCATCTCTGCAGTTGACTGGAATTTACGCGCTTCTGCTTGTCTTCTCTCCGGATCATGTAAACCAAGCCACGTCTCAGTGACAGTGTACTGATCAGTTTTCCTGACCCTGGTCTCCCTGCTATGTCACCTTTCCGTTCGCTATACTTTACCAGGTTCCCCAATGTAAAAGGTTTCCACATTCTCCTCTGCTGTTCCGCCTTCTTTGTGCCTGATATTTGTTTCTTTTCCACGTTCCTTATTGCTTTCCTCCTCTCTTCCCTTAACCTTGTTGCCGTCCACTTCCGTTGTTGTGGCCAGGATTATTATGCATTGAAAGTCGTGACTGTCTACTATGTATAAGCAGGAAAATTGACTTCATGGTTGTTCGTTGTATTGAGGAACGATGCTCCAGTAAAATCATTGGTAACTCTTTCTCCCAATTTTCTCCTATAGAGGCTAACCATTTCTTTAACGTGTGGCTGTTTTTTCTGTAATCCTATTAATCTGAGGGTGATACGGTGTAGTTCGTAATCCCTTGATGCTAAGCTGCTTTAGACGGGCTTTAAACTCGTCACTTTTAAAACAAGGACCCTGGTCTGTTCACATCATCTTCGGTATTCTGTGACACGCTACAATATGCCGGGTTACTACTTCGGTCACTGTTTTTGTCCGCTGGTCTGCAACGAGTACGGTGTCTACTTAACGTATGGACTGTTTCGTCATCACTGGCAGGTACTGATTGCTGCTCTCCGTCTGTAGAAACGGTCCAATCATATCCGCCGTTACTGGGACTGACTACAGAATGGTGATATTATAATTTATCATTCTCGTATAATAGACACTGAATATAAATGGTGAAAATCTACTATTTATGGTGCAAATTGTCTGAGAATTTATTACAAATTATTTTAGTCCATAACTAGATGACTGATTATTTATGAAGTGGGTTTATGTTGTGGAATATAGTGAAGGCACTGTTTATGTTTCGTATATCAATTTGTAATATAGATTTATTTTACAAAAGACAAAAGAAGTGATAATGTTAGTTACTACTTCAGGAAATAAAGATTTTTCATTCTTTTAAGCAGTATGGCATTTAATTTCAGTGTATTTCTTTTTAAATAAGAACTTTTAAAAACATTCATCTGGCATTTAATATTTATGGAATTTTCTGGTTACATTGCGACGAATATCTGAATAGATTTATAATAGAATGAGCATTTGTGAAAATTGTAGTAATTTAATGGTTGAGTTGATTTAAGCTAGACCACTCTGGAAAACCTGGAAGCACTGGACCACCGTTTCTTCTTAGTGTAGAATTCTTCAGTAGTGTGCACTCATCATCCCGGGATTCAGACCCAGGACCTTTGGTCTCGCTCGCGAACACTTAAACTCTAGACCACTGAAGAGGCATCCAACGATGTTAATATCTAACTTCAACCAATCCATGATATTGCGCAACCGTTCAACATTGTCTTCAATGAGTAACTACCTCATAACAGATACGGTTGAACTTTATTGGTCACGTTTTTCTTAATCACTTATTTCCTTGATCATCTGAATAATGACAATAACCAAAAATCATTTAAAAGTTTTTCATTTGTAAAATAGTTTGTAAACAAAGTTAGATGGTGGTTAAAAGTGGAGTCAAGAACGTACGTCTCATCCTATTTGGGACTCAGAGTTGATGTTCACTCCGGGATTCAAACCCAGTAACGTTCACTTCAGACACCACCGCGTTATTCACTCAAATACTGAGCCCTGATAGCCACTTGGTTGTGCGATATGGTGATGGCGTTTGAAGCGAACGGTACTGAGTTCGAGTCCCAGAGTGAACATAAACTGTGAGATACAGGTACATCCAGATGACAAGTCCGTAATAGGACGAAACATGCGTCCTGGATTCCGCTACTAACCACTATCCATCTTTGCTTATAATGTTTGTTACTTAAGACAATATCGAGGCAATCCACATAGGATACATATATTACAATAAGAGATTGATCAACTGCAGTCTTAAACATCAAAGGGTAGGATCAAGTAAACAATACAAAGTGAATGTAAAGCAGTTTGTCTAGAACAATTAGCCATCATTTAAATTTGTATATTATATAAAGTTATTCAATAATGTAGTTACATTTATTTGATATCAAATGAATTCCAGTGTTTTTGACAAAGTCTTTAGAAATTTATTAACAATGCTTTGATGAAAATAACAATGTCTTAAACATTTACATGGGGGATTATATTAGCTACTTACTTCATATATATTCTTCTAACAAAAGGAAATGAAAAGTTGAGTAAGACTAGCATTTCAGACATCGATAATTCAAACATCTGATTATGAATGACAAATAAACAATGACTGAATCGATAACATATCCACAAAATTAATCATAACCCATCTTATATAAGCCAGTATACAATATATAAGTAGATATATAAACAAATAAGTACTATCATTCTTTTAATAGTACTAGTCAATAATTAATCATTAAGTTACTTTATTACTTGTAATTTATAAAGATGCTCAACACTTTTTCATTGAAAATTACATGATCAAAAGGGATTTTGTGGAGATTTTACAAGTTTCACTGATTGAAATCATGCTCACTGCTGAGGAATCCTACACTAGAACGAAACGGCTGTCCAATGCTCCCAGATTTTTCATGGTGGTCTAGCTTCAATTGACTCATGATTTCAATCCGTGTAAATTACATGATAATATTATACTTATAATTATTTTTATCTTAATGAATTTCCTAATTTCTATTACATGTATAAACATACGTATTATTATTTTGCTTGTCATCACCCTCTAAAAGAAATGTTTCATTTCTATGCAATACAATGCAATGGATTTGTAATTTAATAATTAGCGAAAAATAATAAAACAGTTGGTATCTATAATTCCAGTAGGTCCTGGGTTCGAGCTCAGCGTGGTGCGGGATCGTGGATGCGCACTGCTGAGGAGTCCCATACTAAAACGAAACGGCCGTCCAGTGCTTCCAGGTTTTCAATAGTGGTCTAGCTTCAACTGACTCATGATTTAAATCTGTGAAAATTCCATAATTGTTATTTTCATTTCATTTAATGATAATAAAAAGATATATCAATATTATCAGTAATAAATTTTAATTTAATAAAATTTTGAAAAAAAATAACGATTTATATTGAATAATTTCAAGTCATTAATCCTCAGAAAATTTGATGAAATGTGTGTGTGTGCGTGTGCATGAGTGCGTGAGTGCGCGTGCGCGCGACAGAGAAAGGATCATACATTTATATTATTTGTTGCTATGTATACAACTAACTATAAAATGGTATTAAAAAAAAGAATTTATAGATTATTTGAGATCAGTAAAGTAGAAATTATACATTTTTATTCCATATGTTAAATAACATCAATGTCGATATTTCATCATGCTATTAGTCTGATCTGTTTCATTACCATTATTATTATTAGTACCATTACTATTATAATTATTACCATCACCATTATTATTGTTACCATTACCATTATTATTACCATTATTATTATTACTATTATTATTATTATTATTATTATTATTATTATTATTATTATTATTATTATTATTCTATATTTCAGTGTATCGTGTTTAGTTATAATTTTGAAAAAAAAATCATTGTTTGTTTTAATTATATAAGCTAATAAAAACGGATCAAAATTAAAAGAATATTATTACTGTAGAATTTAAAGTTGTGAAACATAGTTTTGTTGTTGCTGTTGTTGTTGTTGTTGGAGATTTTATTAATTTGAATGAATGTTATTAATAAATGTCAAGATAATTTACATACTACTGATAATAAATGAATTTGGTTTATCTTGAAGAATTTCCTTGAGAAAGAATTAGTTCTTTTTAAAAAAAATAAAGAGCTTTCATTTGATCTAATCAATAATTCTAACCATAAAAGAAATTAATTATAATGAGTAAGTATTATTATTTATAAACAAAGTATCGAAGCAATGTGCATAGTATACACATATGCCAATAAAAGACTGATCAATCGCAGTTCTAAATATCAATGGAAAGTAAAAAACAATACCATGTGAATAAAAAACTTTAGCCCATTGCACAACCAAGTGGTTATCAGGACTCAGTAGTTAAGTGGATAATGTGATGGCGTTTAAAGCAAACGGTAATGAGTTCGAGTCCCAGAATGAACATCAACTCTGAGAAACAGGTACATCCAGCTGACCAGTTCCAAATAAGATGAAATGCACGTCCTAGATTCCACTACTAACCACTATCCATCTTTGCTTAAAGTTTTGTTTTCTTAACAACAACTAGTTACTTATTACAAGAATTCAATGATATATTAGTTGATATAAAAGACTAAACTGTTAATCAGTTTTTTTATTTATATTTAGACACCATAAACATGATAAGTGATAACATTTTTGACTTAGATTATTACTAATTTGTTTTGTGATTATTAAGTCTACGTTACAGGTATACCTAAGTGATGAATCTCATCAAGTATGATAGACAGATTAAACTTTTCATGTAATATTATTCATAATTATTTAGGATTATATTAAATCTACATTGATATTCAAATGTCTATACTTGGTTTACAAAACTCAGTCGATATTTAAAGTGAATCATTTGTTTTCACAGATAGAAATCATGAGTCAGTTGAAATTTATAAAATCTCCACAAACCCCTTCTGATAGTAATCATCTGCTCACTAGTGACTGACTTCAAGAGATACTCCTGGAGTTCTAGTGGAAAGCCGTTACCAGTGGAGTTGAACCAGGTCTGTTGTGAGATATCAGCTCACTGAAGACAATGGTGTACGGTGGCGCGACTTCGTGGATTGGTTGAAGTTAGACATTAACACCGTTGAATGCCGGCTCAGTGGTCTAATGGGTAAGTGCAATTTTTTAGTCTATTACATCAATCTTAATAATAAGGACGAGAGTAGAAATGATTGATTTCCTATGATGATTGATAATTTCATCTTGAATGTTTTTATAATTGTGTAAAATTTATTTTTGAAAATTCCATTCTTCAACCAGATTTCAACAATGTAACGTTTACGTGAAGCTGTTTCGAGATATCATCATAGAAACTCTGATCAAGTTCTAAAAAAAAAAACTAAACACAATGAAAAAGATCACTGACCTTTTAAATGATGGTATTCCACTAGCATAACGAATTAATTGTCCTTGAGCATCAACGGATACAATAATGTTTGCAAAGTACCAATAGAGATTAGTTAAACCAACGACAAATGCAATTACCATCTTAAATAAATAAAAATCAATTAATCCATATGAACATTTGACAATAATTTTCATTATAAACTGACATCAGTTAATAAATCATTGATTCACTAACTTTTGAGACTATTCAAAAATGTGTAGCAACAATCTCACATAGAATTGACCAGTATAAACACCTAATCTTGTAATGAACGATAAGCAGGATTCCATTAGTCCCTGTTTTCAACTTTGGTCAATTCTAGGTATGATACGACTATCATTCAATTACATAGGTAGATAAGCGCCTGATTTTGGACTTATTCAAGCTAACATATCACGGATTTCTTCCAAGATTTCTAATAAGTTCATTTCGACTATCTTTCATTTGATGTTTTGTGACATCACTGGAGTATATTGTAAAATATTTGCAAACAAGGAGGAAAAGAAGTTCTATGATCCTTGGTTTTCCATGTATCTCCAACTTCTGCCAATTTGTGATATGTTCAAAGTGAACAAATCTCCAAAAAACTGTACATCTAAATTCACATTGATTGTTGTAGTTCGTATACTTATAGAATGATACGTGTCTTACGACCATCAATATCTTTAATTCATTTCTTAACACACGTTTGCAACCCAGTAAGTCCTTCGAGTTTTTTGGAATATTCAAACTTTCGTCACCTGCTAGCTGATTTTAATTACGTTGATTTCAAACTCTTCGATTATTATGTTTAAAACATATCTGAAACTTTGTGTTTATTCTGTAAAGCTATCTACCATGGTAGTCAGTTATACAAAGTAGAAAATGAACTAATTTTCCATGTGTTATATACAAATAAATAAAAACCCCAAATCCAAACACTACTCTGCACTGGTGTTCGTTCCAGAATGTCCCGTTGATGGCTCATAATTTCTGCTTAAAATCTGTACAATATGATCAACATGAAAGTCACTGTATGAGCTGATGTGAGCAAAAAGTAATTGTGAATGGATTATAACTCAGTAACTTGATTTCTCTCAGACGTTGCGATTTTACGAAAAGCCATTCAGTAAAAATAACATAGTCCGTTTTACAGAGTTTCTGTGTTTGTTATTCACATAAGCGTCTAAATTATATGCATAACAGATAGATAGATATATAAAGGATCGATATCTACTTTCGCTTTAAACCATAGGTGCTCACAAACAAATTGTCATCCCAAGCAAACGAAAAATCACTTACCACAGTAAAGAGCGCCATGAATCGTATGATATCTGATACCATACGAGCCAGAGATATTTGAAGTGGTCCAAGTAATTCCCATGCTGGCATTAGATAACTAATTCTTGAAAATGATAAAACATTACCCAAAGCAAATAGACAATCAGAAATGTACTCTGGGTCATCTGGAGCCCACCATAACCGACCTACGTTTAAATATAAAAGATAATTGACTGTCAGAGAAGGAACTTTTATGAATCTTAACAGAAAAGCAAAGAAATCAATTGAAGTTTCGTTTATTGAATCAACGTTTCCATTTTTTTAATAAATATTAAACGTAAACTGGAATGTTAGCATGAACATAAAAATGCTGGAAATGTATCTCATTTAGGTTTGGAACCTAAATTCACTGTTACTCTTGTAGTGATAGGTTATGTTTCTGACTGTGTATTGTAAAACTGAACGCCAATGTGATAAACTCTAGTTTTAAACTTAGTATTGGATACTATTTAAAATTTTTTACCATATTAAACAAATAAACATATTTTTTTCCTACATTTTATCTTACATTAACTCAAACAAGATACTTTCAGTGCTCTAAAAATCAAATATCATTACTTTAACTCTACAGCTTAAGTGTTAAACTAAATGTATCCTAAGTGTAAATATCACTACTAAAGTAAAATTTAACCGGTGAACTTCAAATATGTGTGGTATTATGATATGGTTGTGCAGTATAGTCAATTAATTAAAATTAGACATATGAACCAATGAATGCCAGCATTGTGTTCCAAGTGTGGAAAACTGACTGGGAAACTTGATGGTTCTGAACTCTTCGACTGATCATTAATTAAACAAAATATTTTAATTAAAACACTAGTTACTTGTAAGTAGTTAAACCAATTTATTGAAGAATAGAAATATGTAAATAAAACTACACTTATCTCAGTTTCTCACTAGTCAGTATACTGTTAAAAAAGTTAAAAAAACTCAACATTATAAATAGATGTGTGCCTATAAGAGCTAATTCGTTTGATCAATTAAATATAACTATCCAGGCAATAAGATTGGAGACTGGAAGGAGGAATATTTGTCTTTATATACTCATTTATCATAACTATATATATAGTTTAATATTAAAACATAAAAGTTATCTCCATCTGAACGGTAATGAATCAACTGGCAGTGCACATTTCGATTTAGTAATATTGACATGTCTAGTAGATTGAATACTACTTGTTATATCTGGTCATCACTGATTGTTATGTCGGAAACGCTTATCACTCATACTCGGAACGAGTGACCTCTGCAATTCCCACGACGCAAAAGTAAGAACACAAAGACTAGTATAAATGAAGATTTATTAACGCCCAAAAGCAAGACGACGACGACCCTAGTCGAAAATACACTTATTTATATATTGATTGTATACCCATTTTGATTAAATAATTAGGATGAGATCACATATATAAAAAAATACATAGAGACATAACAAATCACAGACTGAGCATAGTTCATGTCAATGGAATACACGAATATCGTATATTCTACAGAATAAAATATAATAAGAGAAAAGAAACCAAATACTACATTGAATAATCATTACATTGAATCAAAACGGAAGTAATCTTGGACAAAACTCATAATGAGTAAAATCAATCGAATTTGGACTTTTCTTCCCATCATATCAACTATCTGTAACAATAATGGTGGGTTAACAGTGAGATACAGAATATGAATTAATTAGCTAACTCGTCATTAGAACATTTTGCTTAATTATAACAATAAAACTGAGTGAAAAATATATATGAAATAGATTAGTTATTGAATACAACTATAATACTTTTGATAGTTTTGATAATTAACTAAATGACATAATGAATTTATTACTAAAAGAATAATAATAACTTACATCCTCTTAACCAATAAGCAGATTCTGGAATTAATATTTTATTTCGATAATTCACATAATTTTGATGTGTTGTCTGTTCAGTAGTAGAACAAAATTTTGAAGTGGAACATGTAGTATTTAACAGAATTGATTGAGCTACTTTAAGTACATCTTGATATTGTCTCATTGATGCTTGAACTTTAAAGTCTACAATAATTCTTAATGAATATGATGCCAAATATAAGGCAATAGATACCCAATCCATAAAATTATAATAACTACGGAAAAAATAACGTAGTCCATAATGATAAACTTGTTTACATTCCATACAAAGTTGACCTATGATTGATTTAATAAAATAAAATACTGAATTATTTTAAATAAATAAGAAATAAATATTAACAATTATAAAGATGTATAAGCAAAGATGAATCGTGGCTAGCAGTAGAATCCAGGACGCGCGTTACGTCCTACTTGGGACTGGTTAGCTGGATGTACCTGCATCTGTGTTCATGTTCACTCTGGGACTCCAACCCAGTACTATTCGTTTCAAACGCCATAGCGTTATCCACTTAACTACTGAGTCCTGATAGCCATTTACTTGTACAATGGGGTAAAGTTAAATTCACTTGACGTTGTTTACTTGTATCTTCCCATTGTTATTGCAGTCCTAACGTGATGGCGTTTAGAGCGAATGGTACTGCGTTTGAGTTCCAGAGCGAAAATCAACTCTGAGATGCAGGTACATCCGGCTGACGAGTCCCAGATAGGACGAAACATGCATCTTGGATTTCGCTGCTAGCCACTATCCATCTTTGCTTATAAAGCTTGAGACTTCAGGTAATATCGAGGAAGTCCGCACAGAATGCACATATGTCAACAAGGGACTGATTCACTGCAGTTCTAAATAACAATTTAAAGATACAAGTAAGCAACACCAAGTGGATTTCGAATGTGTTTATGATAATCTTTTAAGCCTTTCTATTATTTAAGTTATGCTAATCTATAAGTATTTGTATTAATTTGAGTAATATTTAGTTTAACAATTGTATAATTTAAAATTTATTGATAATATGCAGATTATTTTTATCGATGTCAGTACACTCTAGTACAATTTGCATCCAATGTAAGAGACTACTGCAAACATTTGAAAGAAATTACAGTTTGAGTCACTAATACATTTTCGCACACTTGATAAGCACAGTTTTACAGACAGAGAAATCTGTGGCTATATAGAATGTTATATTGCTACAACTGAATAACTATATTTTAAGGTAATGATCATATATCGGCTGTAGGACTGACTCACGTGTAGATATGCTAGAATCGACATTAGCTAAGTGATTAATTAAAATACTCACAATATACTGGCTATACTTTTATCTCAGCTATCATGTGGAATAAGAGGTAGAATGCGATTACTTAACTTTTCCAGACCTATTATTAAACACTCACCATATGCTTTAGATATTTTAGTTACGTCAACTTGTTATAAGAGTTCCTCAAAGAAACAATTTATGACTTTATAACCAATTAAACTAAATATCTACAAACCGTTAATTTAATTCATTGTGTACTTGAATTATCTATCAAACAAATGTACTTGTCGTTGTTAGGTGATAAATAAATGAATAAAAGTAGGCATACATAGCTTATTATCAGAGTTTTCATGACACATTTATGCCAGGAATGACATGATGTATAACAAATACCTGAACAAGCAGAGTAATTTACTACTTGTTACCATCTAATTATTTAAATTTAGGGATTATTATATGGTTAAAGATATCCCAACTCGTTCCAATAAAATAAACACTTCTAACTATCTGTAAATTTTTGAGTGGTCTTCTACACTATACATACAATTTTGGTAAGATTTTAATTGCTGATTAGTATCTAACAGATACTCAATGTGTGACTTAATAATACAAAGAGTTTATTGTTTTAATTGATATTAAGTCGAGTGTCTCTAGGCCGAAAGAAATAAAAAGGTAACGCTCCATGCAATTAGTCTAGGTTCTGCTTCGATTCCTGTTAACTAATAAATAAGAAGAAAATCCCAGTACGAGACTCTTTAGTACTGCGCATCCACGATCTTGCACGCGGAACTGCAAACCAGAAACCACGATCTCGCGAGCTAACGCTTGTCTCCTAGACTATTGAGCAGGCACCCAATCGCGTTAATGTCACGTGTGCAGGATATGGATGCTCACTTCTGATAAGTTCCATATTAGGATAAAACAGCCGATCAATGGTTCCAGGTTTTCAGTCATGATCTAATATTAATCGGTTCATGATCTTAATGATATTATGTGTTGCCATGCTTCCCTTTTTGAATTATATCGATCAATATAGAATTTAATTAATCAGAGACGTGATCCGTAAGTTTTTTTAAATTCATATGACCTAATTCACAGTTGACTGATTATTAAGTCCTTAGTTAAACTTCAATTCAAAATCATCCTTAATCTACGTAATTTGACTGTTTTAACAGGTATGATTGAATGATGCTATTCTTAATTAGTTAAATTATAATTATAAAAAAATAATCAATCAAATGATTTACTAAAGTTGATCAACTTAGAAATACAGAACATTGAAATCTACCTATAATGTACCTATCACAGATGATGAACATTCTAAATCTGATTTCATGTAAAATAGTGAATATATACTAGTGAGAATTCCCCATGTAAAACGAAACAATTTTTTAAAACGCTGTCTGTATTCTTTCTAGTGGTCCTTCATTATTAGTATCATTATTATTATTATTTTAAATCAGTTTATGATATAAATTAATATCCAAGTGAAGAATCGTCATAAACATCCTGATATAAAATCAATTAGTTTTTTGTTACTAGGCAAAAAATTAAAAAAAAGTTTTATGACGGACATTATTATTTAATTAATTAGTTTAATGGATAAAATAAATTAATATCAGGTCATTAACTTATTTAATGGATATTTGAAAAAAAAGGTGAAAATTAATTTTATTTTTCTATTATTTGACAAATTGGTTAATTTTCAACAGATTGAAATCATGAGTCAGTTGAAGCTAGACTACCATTGAAACTGGACGGCCGTTTCGTCCTAGTATGGGACTCCTCAGCAGTGCGCATCCACGATTAATTCTTTTTAAATATGCTAAAGTGTTATCATTTTTTAGGGGTATTTTTTAAAATTTTTTAAATTATATAATTAATTTAGTATAGTTTATGAAAATAAATAAGATGTTGAGCATTCGCGTAAGAGAGTGATAGGTTTTGGGTTCAAATCTGGCAGGGTGAGATTGTGGATATACACTGTTGAGGAGTTTCACAATAGGATGAAACGGTCGTTTAGTGCTTTCAGGTTTTCTATGGTGGTCTAGCTTTCATCGATTTATGAATTCAATGATAGAAATTACTATAATAAGATAAATTAGTCAATATTTAATTAATAATATTTTTGACTTCATGAATTGTTAAGTAGAGTTTTTTTAAAAACAATCATTTTTCATAAAAAATTAGAAATATTGAACCTTCGAAATTAAATATACTACTTAAATACACTTGGTATTTCACTGACTGAAATCATGAGTCAATTGAAGCTGGACCACTATAGAAAACCTGGAAGCACTGGACGGCCATTTTGTCCTAGTATGGGACTCCTCAGCAGTGCGCATCCACGGTCCCGCACCCTGTGAGATTCGAACTCAGGACCTATCAGTCTCGCTCCAGGCGCTTAACTAACTTGACCACTGAACTGGCCGACATCCAATGGTGTTAACGTCTAACTTCAACCAATCCACACTTGGTATTATTTACCCATATCTTCTCTTCTTATTGTTATTTTGAGCTGTAATTAATCAGTCTGTTATTGACATATGTACATCTTATAAGGATTGCCTTAAGTCACAAGTTTTATACTGTTCGTTGAACTATGAGTTTTATTTTTTTAAACAATTTTTCTTCGTTTACATATGACATAAATTTATTGATTCATTTCTAGTTGATTGATAAAAAAGATTATTATTTGTAAATTATCCTACTTTTAAGGTCATATATTTATATCATCTTGACTATTTAGAATATACAATTTGTACTCAAGATTCAACAGGAAGTTATTATAGTTAAACACCTTAAAAGAACCTTTAATGACAGTTGATAAAAGTTGATTAGGAGAAATGATGTTTCAATATAGATTTTATTCATCATTCAAGTGTTATCTAGGAGGCTAACTCTCAGATAATCTGAATTCAGAACACTCTGTCTACTGTCTTCGGCTAACTAACTTAGAAGACTGAATCTCGATTTTCAAATTAGTGTTAACAATTGTAATTTAGTTGGATAGAATTGTTCGATACCGAGAACTAAACAGCTGATATACAAAATCAGCTTTTACACTTTTAAGTTTATTGGAATAGTTTTGAAAAAAATACCATATGTTTATAAAACTAATTACATTACATAAAGTAGCATTTATGGATAGGTAACATTTATTTGAAATTGAACCGCCGTAATAATAAAAAATTACTTACCAAGTATCCAAAATAGTAATATTATTTGAATTTTCGTCATGACCACATGAGATGTTCTAAAGTCATAGCTTAAAATTTCTGTATACCTAACTTCCCAATTGTCTTCACCATCACTGATTGCTGTACGATCCAAACGAAAAGTGGCCACAGTAATTAATATCAGGAATGTTAAGTATGAAACCATATGACCAAGAAATTTAGTCACAGGACATCGTAGTATTTCTGTTACCTTAAAAGTAAAGTAATCATTATTAAGAAAAGTGATAGAAAAACATTGAATATTATTGTTGACGAGTAGTAGAGAAATGATCCTTCGTTTGTAAACGTTGTATTAACGTTTTAAATTCGACAAACAGCATTTTATTTGTAATACGTTATATGGACAGGAAACTGAAATAGTTACATTTTGACTATCCTTTTAGATAAAATCATCAACATCGTCAGTAATCAACAGGGGATTTCTTCTGGGTTGAGATTGCTTAGCAGTGCACCTCGGAGATCATGTGCGGAATCAAATATAGCATCATGTCGATTACTTCGTATTGAAACTATAGAGTTGAAGGTCAACCATCCATGTTTACAAGTGCGATCGAAAAGAATCATAACTCGGCGATCATCCAATAATTATCTTATTGAGACGGGATAGATGTCCATCCTTCCCATCTTTTCAGTAGTTTTAAAACTGATGTCAGTCTAAGACGTAAACGTTTTTCAAACCAAACTTATTACAGTTAAATTGCTCGACAAAACGTAATTAATTTATGTATTAGAACATGTAATGAAAATAACGATATCGATCTCTAAGAGAAACGTGAAAATTCAGAAATAATGATATCACATACATAAATCGTTTTTCATTCCTATCAGAAGACACAATCTTTTCAATAGTATCTAAAACGCCAGCGAAACTTTTTTATTGCTATGAAGAATCCGTAATCACAAATGTTAAATGCTTATGAATACGGGATTCAGATGTCATTTTTAACAGTTAAAGGAATATTTGCATTTTAATAATTTAAGAAAATTTACGATATTATATAGCCCACTTTTGGTAGTTAACACTAGTCATTGCGGTTAGGCGTGATTTATTCATCTTATACTTCCAAAATAGTGGAGAACCAAAATGTATAATGGATTGAGTAACAGTTGTTTCACTTTAGTTTGAAACTTATCAGAAGCTTATACCCTCGATCTCACACGTAATCAACGTCAAGATCAATAGTTCTCACAGTAAATACAATGCGTTTAAAACAAAGTTACACGGAGGCTATCATTAACGGAGTCTGTCATTAACTTCAATAACTTTTCAGTACAACATGATCTTCAACTAATTTCATGACATTCAACTTGTTTGATATTCATAGATCATATTTTGTGGTCATAAGTTTAAAAAATCCATCACAACTACCATATTGTCAATAAGAGTAGTCATCTAAACTTAATTCATCTTTCATTAAAAACATTAGTCCAACATTTATTTATATTGATACTTCATATTTACCTTATAAAATTCTAGTAGGAATACAAATATAGTCTGGGTAGATCAAATATAATAAAGATATTCTTGAAAGTATAAAAGAGATAAAAGTGTTTTTCTTTGTGAGATTGGTTTTGTTTCAATACTGAACAAATGAACACCGTTAGTTTGTCATGTGAAATCAGAATGATTACTGACAACAAAATTTCACGAATAAAGTTCATATTGAAGGCTTTATTATGTATGTTATAAAATATTTAAAAGTATTAGACTATTACAAACAAGTATTATTGAAACTACTACTAATCTATGGCGTATCTTGTAAGTATTATAAAACAAAACTAAGAAAATAGTTTGTTGATCTGTAAAACGGAGTTGAAATGAATATATATATATATATATATATATATATATATATATATATATATATATATATATATATATATATATATATATACAGAAAGGTTTTTGTGGATATTCTAGTCAGTTCAGTGGTTGAGATCATGAGTGAATTGAAGCTAGACCACCATGAAAAACCTGGAAGCAATGGACGGCCGTGTCGCCCTATTGTGGTATTCCTCAGCAGTGTGCATCTACGACCTCGCTTCACGACATTCGAACCCAGAACCTATCAGTCTTGCGCGCGAGCGCTTAACCACTAGACCACTGAGCTGACCGGCATCCAACTGTGTTCATTTCTAACTTCAACCAGTCCACGAAATCACCGGCCCAGTGGTCTAGTACTTTCAGGTTTTCCATGATGGTCTAGCTTCAATTCACTCATGGTCTGAACCGTTGACATATATAGTTTCATTAAAACTAATTAAATAATTCTTTTTAGATACAGCATGTATTCATATATCACAGTTGAATTTGATAATTTTTTTGATAGAATATATTATTGATTGCCTAATAAACTTTATTACATAACCTGGAGATTTAGTTTCTATGCCATGTCAGTTCCATTTTTATTTTTTTTTTTTTAATTTTTATAGCAACACTAATTTTGGTGGGTAAAAAAATGGTATACAGAATAAAATTAATTGATGCATATCAAACAATGAAGTATTCTGCAACTGGTAAATTCTTATTCTATGATGATCTTGTTAGAATACTTTCATTACGTGTGTAACTTTACCATTTGATGATGTTTAGTAAGACTTTATTTTAAAGATTTATTGATTTTGAATAGGTTTTTCTTAATTATGTTAGTTTTCATATTGAAAGAGTATTATTAACCCACCAATGATATTGGACGATTGTCATGTTATATTGTGAATCTAATTATAGTTGAAAATTTAAACTATTTGATTCCAATTAGTAAGATGCGATCTAAGAACAGGAAAGATACTAAGGTTTAAAGGTTGGTCGGAAATTTCCTTTGAAATAAATAATAAATGAAGGCGAATAAACTTTGAAGGCTTCACTCGATATAATTATGGGTGGTAAGATTTTGATGATTTTATATTCATTTAATAAAGTAATATAAAGCTAATTCCACCAAATCTTTGTCTGTTTACATTAGAAACTACTTGAGAAATCGATAGTCTATCTGCTTATTTGTTCCACTAATCTCTATCTTTTCATAGGAGTTGCTAAAATTATAACTAAATACAAAAGTGACTAAAATTGGAAGCCTAATCTATACTTATACCGACAGCATGTACCAATAGGTAAATATAGTTTATCATGTAAGATACAAAAAAAGTTAGAATTAATTCGTCTTGGTTTTGTTTTCAACTGTTCCGGATCTAACATATCACTTTAAGGCAAGGTTTATTTACTATAAACATCTATAATCTGTTTTGATATAAAATGATGCAAAAACTAAATTTAAACCTTGTATAGACTAAATTATATTAAATTGCAAGGCTGACGAATTGAATGAATTGGGATCTATTTCTTATAAAATAATTTACTGTTTTTATTATTATAAAAATAAGCTTGATTTTCAAATGATTATTATGATTTCACAAGACAACTTATCAATTTGAATGAGCATTGTTTACGTTAACTTTATCTTGGTAACAGCATATCTAACTGAGTAATATTACGTATGTCACCATTGTTTCCGTGAAGTTGTCTACTTTTCATAAATCTTATCAATTCTTAGTACTTGATGTAATTTACTGAGTGATTAGTTTTCTATTCTTTTGTTGTATTTTTTTTATATATGAAGGAATTATAATCATCACGTTTATAACCGATAAAGTCCAAATTTTCTGTTTACGATGATTTACACTTAAAATGGAATGTCGATTTTATTCATCTCACTGAGTTTGGGAACTGATATCACTGTGGATAACAGTTACTTACTTACTTACACCTGTTACTCCTCGTGAACGAGCATAGGCCGCTCACCAGCATTCGCCATCCAACCCTGTCCTGGGCAATTCTTTCTAGCTCCTTCCAGTTGTTGGTCATCCTTTCTATATCTGCTTCTATTTCCCGACGTAATTTGTTCTTTGGCCTTCTTAATTTCAGCTTCCCTTCAGAATTCCAAGTTATGCCTTGCCTCGTCATGCAGTTTGATGATTTCTTTAATGTATGTTCTATCCACCAACTTCGTCTTTTCCTAACTTCCTCCTCAACTGGAAGCTGGTTTGTTCTCTCCCACAGAAGGCTGTTAGTATCCAACCAATGGATGTTGAGTATCATGTATAGACAGCTATGTTTAAATACTTGTACTTTCTTGACGGTGGTTGTTGTAGTTCTTTAAGTACTTAGTTACTTTTTGTTTCACCTTCAAAACTAGACATTCTGTATTTTGTTTAACGTAGGCATATAGATTATTAGAATCTTTGAATTCCTCTAAAAAAAACCTATCTACTTGCTGCTTTGCCAAAGCAAGTTTTTCAAATGAGTCTTCATTTGCATTTTATAATGGTAAAAAAAGTCATATTCGCAAAGGCTGTTAGTTCGCTTCATATGCATTTTCCATCATACTGATTTCACAATATAATTTACTTATTAAATAGTTTGATACGAACAAGAATATAATAGATTATTGTATCCAGTCTATCTGAAACAACGTTTAAATAGGTCATATGAGGTACTAAGAAATAAATCCATTTCTAATATACATGTCATGTTACCTTGAATTAGTCTACCACAGAATTTATGTTATTGTTCAAATTATAATCATATTTTTTTTCTAGAAAAAAAAGAACTCTGTTTTAACACTTCAGATTGTCAGATTGATAAATGTTTCAATGTTTCCTTTATTCACATCAATTCACTAAACAAACATATTTATGCTTAATTTGAAACAAATTGACCATTCAACATATTCTCTTAGAGATTACTTTGTAAAACAGAATTTAAAAAAAAAAACAATGACAGACGTTTATAGCCATTGGCATTTAACTTTAAATATTGTTATATATAAACTAAAATATCTATTTGTTTATAATAAACAGTGTCTGGAATAAACAAGTAATTTTTGTCAAATGTTGATTCATTTATCCATATTTTAATGAAATGACACACAGGGAGTAATGTTGTGGATTAATTGACATTTAGCAGCCATTATATATATGTTGTCGGGAGTCCCATACTAGGACGAAACACCGGTCCAGAGCTTCCAGGTTTTCACTGATGTTCTAAAATTGATCAAATCATGAATTTAATAAAATTCAACAATCACTACAATCTCTAACTGGAAATTATCATGTGCTCACTAGTGATTAGCCTGAAGATGTAACTCCCAGAGTTCTAATGAGAAGCCATGACCAGTGGAGTTTAACCGTGTC